CAGTCTAGTTTACCTTATGACATGAGGCATCCAGTTCTTTTACCAAAGGCACATCTGTATACAACTATGGTAGTACGCTCCATCCACCTTCTGCACCAGCATGCTGGTCTCAATGTCACTATGTCTCTGGTGCGGCAGAAGTATTGGGTTGTACATGGGCGCAGCATCATCAGAAAGGTTCTTCATGATTGTGTTAAGTGTTACAGATTTCGACAAGTCAAAACCCACCAACTCATGGCTGACTTACCGGCTTTTAGAGTTAATTACGCACCAGTGTTCAGCCATTGTGGAGTTGATTTTGCCGGACCTTTCAGTACTAAGCCCTCAGTTGGACGTTCAAGAATTGTGTACAAAACATATTTAGCTCTCTTCATTTGCCTGACCACCAAGGCTGTACACCTAGAAATAGTGAGTGACTTGTCAGCCGATACCTTCATCGCCACACTGAAACGTTTTGTTGCCAGACGAGGCTATCCAACTAAAATGTACAGTGATAATGGTACGAATTTTACTAGTACACATCATAAACTACATGAAGTGTATAAATTGCTGTGCTCTCAACAATTGAACTCAGCCCTGAATACTTTCTGTTTGCCCAGAGAGATAGACTGGCACTTTATCCCACCAGCTTCGCCACATTTTGGTGGTATTTGGGAAGCTAACATCAAATCTTGTAAACGCATACTCCAACGCATAACTCTAAATAGTGTTTTTATATATGAAGAATTATTCAATTATTTGTTTTGTTATTAATCAAGAAATTTTGTGTCACCTTATGTGAATTTTATATTGTTATGATACTATAGTTTATACTCTGTTGAAATCTATCTGTAACTTACCCATTATGCCATTTTTACAAATGTTTAAATTATTTATTTATTTATTCCACTTCCTTTTGAGAATACCTCTCAAGGGGGCCGGTATGTTTAGCAAGAATGTTATCATTATCATGTAATCAATTTAAAATACAGTCCACTGCACTTATCAACTTTAAAAACTAACCTCCAATTTAGAAAAATGTGAATTATTGCATGTCAGGCCTAGTCGGGTTATGTCGCCGAGACAGTTATGTTTTTTTGTTGAACTGTTTAAATAAAAGGAACAAAACCTACATCATTTTTTTGCATCTACCTTTTTTTTCCCATCACCATCCCCCAAAAAAAATATTGTTCATTAAAATTCGACACTATAAAAAAAAAATGATAATCACTTGTTGCGCTCTCTCGGATAATTTAAATCATAAACATCCCTCGACTTGTTATGTAAAACCACTTTGGAAGGGCCTTGAACACCTCGGACCTCAAATAACTAAATTTTCAGAACTAAGTCCGACGGCCAAATTTTTACTTCACCATCGTTTCCAACATACTTAACTAAATACGTTAAACCAAACAAATTGAAAAAAGTGTGTCAGGTAAAAATAAATATACCTACCACTGATTTTACCCACGTTCTTAACTCGTTTAAATACGTACCCATTTGTATATGTTTAAAAAAAAAAAATTAAAATTAAGAACATTCATTTTGAGGACTAAAAAAAGTCTTGCCATCAGTATGGACTACTATGGAGTATACAGAATACAAACCTTAAAATTAGCATCCCCATAAAAAAATCCTAGATTCACTACTATGTATGAATATAGCCAATATCGGTAAGTGGTACCTATGAGCTCTTATTTTAATGTACCAATGTATAGGTTACCCACTAACAAAAATATATAGCCAGTCGCCAGTCAGTGTCTGCACTCTGCTGTACTACAGTGTGAATACCCACCAAACTACCTCTTCATCCTAATCCTCTAATAAAAAAACTATCTACCTTGTCCATTCCAGGTACTCCACCTAGATGGCTTAAGCGAAGATGGTGTCGAGACCTTCTGTCTAAAAATTAAAATTAGCTTTACTTAAAACTTAAGAACACAAAATAGGTAGTATCACCAATGGATGGTTTCTTCCCTCAAAAAATTCATACGCAAATACCCTATGCACATTTGCTTATTGTTCTAGTTAAGAACAGATTGTAAATTTCATGTAAAAAAAAAAAAAAAAGGTGGGCAAGTGGGTGTCGCTCTGCTGTACAGTAGGTTACAAGTGGGTCACTGTATAATGGATGATATTAAATTTGAATTCAACGATATAATATCATTGTATAAGAAAAACGATTCTGAGCGGAGACGGTATGTCAGTCTAGGTTTAAGACATATTATATACTTATCTATGGTATTAAAAAAAAATGACCAATGAATGAATTCCAAATTAATCATATCACAATATCCATCAACAACAAACCCTGATACTATCATAGATATATAGTAGAATACTTTAGAAGTTTCAAGTACCCACGAATAATATTATACAATCACAACAAAATAACTAAAATAGTTATTCTAGGTTTTTTATTACCTATGTAATTTCGTCCAAATTTGAATTTAAAATGTCTGTAAAAAATAACTGTGTTCATATATTTTTTAGATTTTTTGGTTATAGTATGAACTATTTATGAGAACCTTTGTTTTAAATTTGCAATCCTTAGCTATAAAAACTGAACATTTTAAAATTTATTAATTACAATGATTGATAATTTTCGAGATTTTGATACATTTTGTCAACATTTCAACTTTAAATGCTTATAAAAAAAAACTGTGCCTATGAATTTTTAATATTTTTCAACTGCTATTGTAACAATATATCAGGAGCCTTTTATTACATTTTTACACTCTTTGGCCCAACAGATAAAACTTTATTGATATTTATAGAAAAAAAAACTAAAAAAAATTAAAAGCGGTAAATGTCCGTAAATAGTTCAAAAAGAGTCAAAATATTTTCAAAATTGTATGGTGTATAGGAAATGCTAATTTAAACATTCAGTGAAATTGTATGTATCTACAGTTATTCGTTTTTGAATAACAACAAAATAAGGAAATCGCTACATGAGAAATCGAGTGAATATCCAATGTTGTAAAAATTTGAATTTCAAACGCTCATAAAAATTTAATTTGACTTTCTTATAGAATTTTTAGATTCTGAGTGGAATGATGAATGTATTGATTTTACAATGATGTGTGTTTTTTAATTTTTTAATTTTTTTTGTGTCTGTGTACACGATAAGTAGTCGAAATAATTCTTCGATTTTCAACTTCAGTATCTTGTTCGATTGGAAAGTGAATATCGTTGGTGTATTGGGGAGGTCAAAATTTAAAATTCCCAATAGTTTTCACAAGCGCCGGGAAAAACAACATAAAAATTAATTTTTTTTTTGATAAAGGTAGATAATCTTATAAGGAATCTTGTATTACATTTTAAAATCTTAGATTTAAAAAGAAAAATTTTTACGAATTCTTAACTCAAAATAATTTGCTAATTTTCGTGATTTTTCCATATTTTGTCAATTTTTGAACTTTAAATGCTTATAAAAAAAAAACTGTGACTAAGGATTTTTAATATTTTTCATCTGCCTTTGAAACAATATACTAGGAGCCTTCTATTAAATTTTCAAGCTTTCACAACCAACAAATAAAATGGAAAATGAAAAAAATGGAAAAATGGAAAATGAAAATGTCCCTAAACAGTTCAAAATATTTTGAAAATGTTATCGTGTATATAAAATGCAAATATAAACAACCAGTGAAAATTTCATGTATATACGTTCATTTCTCTTAGAGTTACACCAAAAACCAAAACCGATTTTGCGTAAGAATTCCCGTTTTTCCTTAATTTTTATGTTGTTTTTCTCGGGCGCTTGTGAAAACTACTGGAAAATTTTTACTTTTGACCCCCCAAAGTACCAACTAGATTCACTTTCCTATCAGAAAAGCTACTGTTGAAGAAAATCCAAGCACTTTTACTGTTCTAAAACGTGATGACAGACACAAAAATAAAAATAATAATTAAAAAAAAAAACACACATCATTGTAAAATCAATACATTCATCGTTTCACTCAGAATCTAAAACAGTGTGAATAGTTCACTTATAATTTATAAACATAACATAGAGTGTTTTGTTTATAATTTCATGAATAATGTTATTACCAATTATTGTATTTTTATTGCCTTATTAAAATAATGTACAGGTAAATATTGCCACAAAATAGTTGTTACCAATTTCGCACTTTAAAATGTTTGTATGTTATTGTACATTATTGATAATTATTTACAAATTTCTAAGCACGATATTTTAATACGTTATATTATTGTATTACTTCGTATTTACTTGTACCTAAATGACGAATTGAAACGGGTCGACGGTAGTTATCAAATATCGACCATTTGATCTTCCTTATCTACTTAAACATTTCTTATTAATGTAATATAATTTGTAATATTTTAATATTAAAATCCAACAATTAATAAATTAAAACCATTACATTTATCTGAACTAACATTGATGCATTCATGTATAAATAAATTACACAATATTATATACTGAATTTGTTTTGGAAATGGATATATAAATTAACTTTATAGTAGGTAGGTAGGTAATGTTTTTTTTCAATTCTACACAATAATAACATAGCCGTAATAAAATAAAAAATGTAAATCTCATTAATTGTATTACTTTCTTATGTAAGTACACTCAATTATTTTTTTATTTAAAATCCGCAATCTGTTTTTTTTTAAAGGTCCATACTAATTTAATGAAATAATGAATATATTTTATATTTTATAGTATAACAATTAAAGTTATATTACAATATTCTAATAATATAATATTGTTGTATAAATTATAAAATAATTTGATATAAATTGTATTTTATATCAAATATTATAATATCATTATATTTTATTTATAATATGTGTACACAGACTGTACAGTACCATTATTGGAGCAATGTGTGACAGCATATTCTTAAAGAATCCAATATTAGTGATATCTAAAAACAGATTTAAATTGATCAAACACTTATTAGACCCTTAAATAATTAAATCCCTTTATTGTTTTAATAATGCATACTCTTTTTATTTAAATAAATTATTATTATTATCTATATAATATATAATTATTATGACCAAATTCTTAAAAATGCTGTAAATTGCTGGTTACATAATGGACAGCGTTGCGGGTCTAATAATATTAGGCAATCACCACACACAGCTATGTGTCCACATGGTATGAACGCATGCGTTTTCTCTGAAATAGAGCAAACTACACACATTCGATCAGAGTTGGTAATTGGAGGAAGAACAGACGGAACCTGAACAAATGGTAAATTTTCTATTTCCAACATTCTTATTCTATGGTCAGTTTCCATCATCCGTATCATATCAGGATCTAATTCCTCTTCAATAATAAAATCTTCTTCATTCCCTGTAATGTAAAATAATTATTTGGGTTTGTCATGTGTAAGAATTTTATATAAATATAAAATATTAGTTATTATTTATCTGAACATATGGTAGTACGCCGGGCAAGTCCTATCAATACCAATCTCCAGTGTATCTTTTCACAAATGGATTCAGCCCCGGTTATTCTAACTCTCAGATATCAGCTTTCTCTTAGGATGGACTTTTGAAATTTGAAACATAGATTAAGCTTAAGGAACTTAAGACATTGTACTCATTTGAGCCCATAATACTAAGCCTTTTGGGGTGCACTTCAAAGTTTGAATTTTTGTTACTGACTGACTGGCAAATCATATGTTTCAAAGAAAATAACCTGTAGATGATTGAAATCTATTTCAGTTGTTGACAACACCAAAGAGACAAAATAAGAATAAACTGGCCAAGTGATAAGCAATTAAGTTAAAAGATATCTGTTGCATGTAAATGTATTTGTGTATTAATAGGTTATTGATTAAAGAAAGATAAACTTGGCTACAATGTAGATATCAATACTTGGATAGGCAGAATGTTTTTGAAGTGGACTATGCCCTTTTTTTCACAGTTAGGTTTTTGTTATATTACTATTAACAAATTAACTTACAATCATTGTCCTGTTGGTTTCCACTTTCATTTTGTTGAATGTTCACCATTTGATCATCTAGAATTGATTCGAGGTTATTTACAACAAGCAAGCATTTTTTTTTAGGTAAGTAAACAATGTATTAAAATTATGGATCTTTTTTCATTAAAATTGTTATAATACTTCAATAACTTAATATAAAACAATATATTATGTAAATACCTATATTTTCCAACAGAGGGCCATCATCTACATTTTCTGCCTGAAAATTGTCTTCAATTCCAAGATCATTTGGTTCATTAACGTTCAGGATATTGTCAAATTCATGGTCACCATCATCTATTGTCCCTAATTCATCGGTTTCATCGTCACTTACTGGTCTATTGTAGCTTTCATTATCGCTCTCAATTAATACAATGGTGATTGTTATCTATAATTTATTGGTGATTTTGAATTTGTATACACAGTAAGCAGGGGAGGATTGGGGAGAGATTTCGGCCCGGGAAAATACAAAGTATACCGGCCCACTTACCAATTTACCAAATATTTAATTTTAGCCAACATCATAATATTATTATGTATTACTATTTTAACATAACTACACGTTTGGTGAGATATGAAATTTATAAAACTTTATTCGTAGTGTATATACATTATACATCGATATCAAATTTATTTTTATTTTTGAACAGTTTATGTTTACACATTTATAATAATCCAAACTCCAAGTACTTATATAACACAGTAAAAGTGAATAATTTAAATTACTAATGTTACGATTTTTGTATTTAATAAGAAAGATTATTACCTATTCAATAATATTTAATAATGCGTTTTTAGACTTAAATAAAAGCTTATAATTTACTTCCACTTAATATACCTGATAGGTAAATTAACAGAATCAACATGCAAAATGTATGTGTATCTTTTTATTTTCTAAAAAAATGTTTTACTGTGGTTTATTCATAATAACATTATGTAGGTACTTAAATTCTAAACAACCAGAAAAATTGTATAGTCTTGTTTTTCTTTAGTATTTTTATGTAATATAATATTGAGTAAAATGTTTTGTCTCCGTCTTAGTACAATCTAACAAATTATACTTCACTATCTGTATTCACCAATCAGCCGAAACGATATAATAATAATATTTAGCTGTAGTACCTACCTAAATAGTAAATATTATAAAAATTATTGTATACCTACGTAATGTTACTTCCCTATTATTCAATAATTTATAAATTCACCTAAACGATCGGTTAATTTCTCGCCCAAATGATATATTCTTTACTCAAGTTAATTTTGGGTTATTCGCCCAAACGAATGACACTCAAATTTTTTATACCCGAAATACGTGTACTACTGTATTAGTATACTGTAATAACTCAAAAATTACGATATAAAACAAAATACGACACCTGTCGATAAATATATTAAAATCGTAAAACTTAGCAATTACTTTCCTCCAGGTGCTCGGAGGGCTCTCGAGATCGTGTTTTCGAGAATTAGATCAAATACACTATACACCACAATTGTATATAAAACATGCACAGATAATACAATAAATGCAATTAATATAAAATATTATATTAATTGCCTTACCTGATCCGCAGTCGTTTGTGAATTATCTTGTAAGGGTTTTAATAGACACAGAGTAACATTTTTTAAATTATAAATCGAAATAATAAACGCACTGATTATTGCTCACATAAGGAGTCCAGAGTGTCGCTCGTTGAAATCGGTTTTTTTAGACTTTTTGGGAGGTTGTTACTTGGTGATGGTGAATGGTGCTCATGCACTTGTTTAAGGGATGACGCGAAGATGCTGACCAGAGAGTGGTAGCCGGCTTTATCAAAAGGTTATCGTGAGCTTAGGAACTAGATTATTCTTTGGCGGCAGATACCTTTTTTTTTCCTTTCCTTTTCTCTGGTGGCATCATATAATAAAGTCACACACCCTGCGTTTTACCGTTATGAGTGCGTGCCGATATCTTAGTTGTCGTTAATAATGGTTTTATTTGATGTGACCGATTTCTACAAACGACAGTCTGCCCGTTATTTATTAGGTATTCTGTAAGATTTTAGTTTATTATGATGGTGTGTGAGCATATCATTACAATACTGAATTAAAAAGTGTATGAAACAATTTTCGGAAATTTAAACCCTGTCTAGTTTTCGATATTACAGTGCTTACTGCTCAAATCAGGTTGACTTTGTCTATTTTCTACTTCCGCGGGATGTCAAGTAAAGTAGACTTTTTCCGAAGTTTGTCGTTACCTAGAGATCACCCAATGTGGTTTTACATAACATATCAAGGGTTGTTTTCGATTTTAACTGTCCTAACTAGTGACCCCGCTATATTACATTTGCTATTTTTGCTTTTCGAAAAATACTATATTTTTGCTTCCTGTCTCTCATCGTTGTGTTAGCAATCCACCGTAGGTAGATTGCCTACCTGATATACCTACTATTACATACTGTCCGCAATCCAATTCGTATTATCTTATTTTGAAAAATCGGAAAAAAATGCAAATTTACTGGGCTGGTACCTAATAGGAATTTAAGAATACATAGTTATTTGAAAAAGCGGCCCACCGGGAAAACTCCCGAATTCCCGGTGGCCCAATCCGCCCCTGACAGTAAGTTGTAACGGGAATATCTGACAAATGAAATAACTTTTGTTATCATCAATATTTTTTATATAATTTACTGACGCCTGCTCTACATGAATAGTGTACAATTTTTAAATCTGTTAAATTTTTTTTGAAAAATTTAAAATAGAAAAATTTGTGTTAAGTTTGTCATATTGTTTATTTTTAAAAAATAATGTTAAATCTTATTACGTTTATTGTAAAGTTTATCCAGTCATCAAGAACTTTTAAATTCAAATAGTATAAGCTTTTAAAAAATATTACCTGATTTATAAATTGGCTATTTATAATTTTTCAAGAAATATGTATATAAGATTTAAAATTTTTTATTTTTTATTTAAAATAAAAAAAAATGTTTTACTATATATTATTATGTAGGCTGTAATGAAAGAGTCTGTAAAAATTATCAATTGGAACAAAAGTTATTTTATTTGTCAGGTCTTCCTATTACACAGTGTATATTGTCTTTTGCATATGGTGGATTACCTTCTTGTTCTTGAATTCCATAGCCTTCTTCATTTTCAATGTCATATGTTATGTTAAGTGAAAAATTTGTTAATCGTTCTTCGTATGATGCCACGGAATACGAACAACATTTCAAAAATTCTTCTATGTTAATGAGACCAAGATGTAGTAAGTTGTTGAGTAGCATATTTTATTTTTACACTATTAACAATAAATTTTCCTCTTGTATTCCTTGTGGGATTCAGCCCATTCGATAGTTGGTTTACTACGATCGATGTACCTTGCATTAAATTACACAACTTATCTATAACAAAATAAATCAAACAAGGTCATATTAGTAACAATTAAAAGCAAATACCCTGCTTATATATTATTTTGTTTTTGTATTACTAAAACAATATATATTTTTTTTTTTTATATTTTCTTTTATTCTTTAAGAAGATAATGGGCTTCACCGAGTACAGTACCTATGAGGATTGGGGGTGTATATTATATTATCATTGTATGTATAAGTTTAGTTTGCAAAAATTAATAAAAGTGTATTATAGTTATAAATGTGTGTGACATATATTACAAAGGTAAAAAAAAACATACCTATATACTTAAAAGAAAGTTAAATGAACTAACGTAAGTATGTAAAGTATGTTATTTTTTATTCACACATAAATTATCATGTCATTTTTACTTTGTATTTTCATCTGTAAATTTATTTACTTGAATATTTTTATTTTTTATTTTTTATTTAAATTTTCTATTGTAACCTTTTTTGCCTCACAACAAGCAATACTTATTGGGATAAAAATTAATCAAAAAGCAGTTATTTTATTCAACTGTATAATTGTAAATGTTTATTTGATTAAAAAAAAAGTAAAATTAAAATAGATACTGACTAAGAAATGTCCACAGATTTGGGTGTGCCACTCCAAAGGAATATCTCAACTTATTGTGAAATGATTCTAGATGGTTGTTTGTTCTCCTAGGTTGATTATGAACAGATAATACATCACATCCTACTTTGGCAATCCAAAACCTATTAAAATGTATGTATCAGCATAGGTAATAATTTAAACAAATAATTTTTCCTAATCTAACCTTTCATAATAATCAAATAGTAGGTTCATATTAATATCATTTCTTCGTGCATATCTCTTTACAGATCTTAGGCCTTGATCGATTTTATCTCCAGGTAACAAGGGTAGCACCATAATGTGTCTTAATGTATTAAGAGCATGTCGATTTTCATTCACCAAATTGAAATACCCAAGACTTTTCATCTTCTTCCACACTGCCTAGGAAGAAGAAATATATAAGTTTTAAAATATATTTAGGTAAGTACTAAAAAACTATTAAGAGAGCACTACACCCGCATGCATTGGCTCTGTCTTACAAACGCATAACATACCTAATATCAAATTGAATTCTGAATAATCTATTTAATTCTGTTATGTGAATTAACCTATTATCAAATTTAAAATTGTTTGTACGTCTTGCAATACTTACTAATAAATTGCTTCAAAATTAAAATATACAAAAACCTAAGAGATTCACTAGATAATATTCTTACTTCTAAATTTGATAATAGGTTAATTTGCTCCAATATGAAAACTAATAGAGTTAAATGAATTATTCAGAATGTACAATTTGCCATGTCATGCATTTGTAAGTAGGAGACAACAAATGCTGGTGTAATATGTCCTCAATAATTGTAAATAGTAAATATAATGTAAAATCATTTTATTTACTTGGTTGTGATGAAACCAGCAACCAATCCGTCTCGCAGAAGGAAAGTTGTCTTGCAATGTTTTACTCAATCCAGTTTCAAAATCAGTTAGTATTTTACGGGGGTTAAAGTGTGGTAGAAGTTGAGTTTTAATGTAACTTAACACAGCTTGGTAACTACATTTCTTCTTGGACTCCATCAAAGCATAAACTAGTGGTATACTCTATAAAAAACAAATAATTTAACAACATAGTGTAAGTAGGTATTTAATTACATATTGATAGTTTATACTTATACAATAAATTAAGTAGGTAATAACTTACATGATTTTCTATTACACCGTGTAATGTCAAAAGTTGGTAACATTTAGGCTTTGAAGGAACTATTCTAAAAGTGGCATCAGCATGTAATTCTCGCTTACACATAGTAAGAGCATTAGTTATCAGAGACTGTGATGCAAATACTATAGAATGTTTGCCATTTGTATCCTGTACACAAGATAAAAAATTAAAATAATTTATCTTCTTCAGATTTGTATCAAATATGTTTAATATGAGTTTACCTTTATAAACTACTTCCCCATCAACACTATAACTGTTTAAATTTCCGGCTATAAACTGATTGGCCAAATCACTTAAGGTCTCGGGAATCATTGGAAGTGACAATGTCCTTGCCCTTCTCATAAAACTCTCAGCCGAATGTTTAGTGTAATTTGAGGCTGATTCTGGAAAACTAAATTTTTTTTTTTAACAATACCTATTTAAATATATTTTAATATAAACAAAATAGACAATACTATACGTGGTTTTCTATTAATCATATATAACACGTCTCATTATTTGAGAAAAATTAACTATTTTGAAAATATTTCTTTTATATAATTTTAAGTTCTTAAAAAAATATTTTTGGAATATAATCATATTTCTTATGGTTTTTTTTTTAGTTTTATTTTCATTGACAATATGTATTTCTAATTTCATATTCCTAAGCATAATATAACTCAGAATATTTTGATCTCTACAAATCAAATTTCCGACAAGTAGTTTATTGGTGGACTACATTTTATGGGGTGTACCCCTAACCACTCAACTCCACACATCTAAACTATAACTCATAAAAGCTACTCATCCAAAATTCAATTTTTATAGATCAAAATACTCCATAAATATTTTGCTTTGGAATAAGGAATTTTAAAGAATAAAAAAATGAAAACGATAACAATGAAAATAGTAAAAAAAATGTTCCAATGGTATGTTTTATTGTGTTAGTATTTACATGAAAAAAATAATAAGACGATAAGACCTGAATTTAGCCAATAATATCCCCAAATAAAAATATAATTCGGCACAATCTATTGAACATTTTTGCCAACAAGTAAGATCAATGCATTTATCACTCCCCTCAGAATCTATCTTGCTTGGTGAATCAATATGTAGATTGTTGGTATATACTTTTTAAATAGGGTTCAACTTAAAAAAACTGTATAATAAATAAAGAAAATATAAATTAAATTTTAATTTAAGAAAAATAAGAAATTAACCTACAGCTAAGGTTTACCCTCAGTGTTAGGCAGAATAATGGTATGGAAACGAATACCTGCATTGTGTATAAGATATAGGCTCGTAGGTCGTACTGTCCTATTGACACGGCATTCGTCCTTAAAATAACTTTTAATTTAGGCTACCAAGTGATAGAACGGACATACCTACATATGGTTTTTCAGATAATCTAACGATTTTATAATAAACAAATTAGTTCTTACTTGCGTGCTTCCTCGTCATAAATTTGAGTCAGTGGAATCAAATCCGTAGCAGATCTCATTTCCAAACGCTTTTTAAATTGTGCCATACGAATCACATTTAAATCCACGTCGTGGTTATGAGTTCGATTTGTAATCTTTTGTCCACTAGGAAGTTCCTTCAAAGTTGCAGTACAAAAAAACTTTTTTGCAAATTTACATTTGTAGTACCTATAAGGTCATTAAAAATATATTATTTCTTTTTCGTAATGAGGTCACTGGGTCAGGTAAATTTCTAAAACTCTACACAGTTTTGTTACATTCTAAATCCATCACTGCAGTTGATAAAATAAATTAATAATTCATGAATAAAAAAGTATCTATACAGTATACTTACGTTACACCATTATTATGCCTTCCTTGGCCATTCTTCACGTAATAATATTCTTCAAATTCCATTTTAACACTTAAAACACAGAACACTAACAGAATCAACAATTAAAAAATTGTTCTTTTAATGACGGCTATGGTGTGCTTCTAACTGGCGTAGACGCAGAGTACAATCATAATGCGTGCTTGGATTTCATGTTATCCAAAAGTAAACAAGCACGATCGACTCGGACGACAACGGTTATCTATACTATCTAGATTTATCTATACTAGATTGTCCAGTGTATAATAATATAATATAATAATACACTGTTTAATTCTGGCTGTTTTATTTTTATCGATAGTAAATTTATAAATTACGTCCAGTAATGTTAAAAATAGATCTTCACTTATATTCCTATTCTGCGCATCTCTCCGCATCATCATGCTATCGAACCCGGTTCACCAATGGCAGGGTGTTACGCTGGGGAACCAGTTTTCGTCGGTGTGCGGCGCGGTCCATAGACAAGTATATAAACCTTGAAACCTTGAACAATTTTTTTTTTGAGTGTTTTAAATACCATGTGTTTGCAAATAAATATATAGGGTCATTTTCATTTAGTCGTATCTTGCGTTTTCCCGTTAGAATCCTATTGACTTCTGTACACCAATGATTAATTATTAACTCTACAATACACTTAACTATTTTTGTACAGAAATCTGTTTCATGTTTAGAACAATGAAGAATATTAACATTGAACTTAGTTAATATGTCTGTGATTAGTGCTTGTCTCAATTGTGAGTGATGACATATTGAAGGCAACATTTTGCTTGTGTACGAAATTATGTCTTGAACTAGATATTTGAATGCAGTAGCTGGGTACTTCAAAGATGGTCTTGATGACTGATATTCTCTAGCTTCAATTAATGCATGTTCATCAAGAGCATTATCACTACACAGCTGTTGTAAACAAGTTTTACAATTTTTAAAAACACATTTATTTAATTTTCTGATTATATATCCAGCGATGTAGGTATGCGTTAAATCTCTTAAATCTTCAGTAGTCTTCGTAGATTCAGCTACTTGTTTTTCTGGGAAGGCAAATGATGTGGAAGTTGGCTTAGGATATTCTTCTTGTTGAAATGAAAATAAATGTTTATAACTCATCAGGCTGTCTTCATTGAAATCTTCGCAGTTTGCTCCCAGAGAATGCGAGGACACCAAATTGTTGAGAAGTAAAGTTTTATACGATGAAATGAATATACTGCAAGTTGGTTTTGAACACCCAACACTTCTTATAGCACCAAAGAAACATTCCAATGAATCTTGATTCAGATGTCTTGGGAGTAATGATTTTATTCCTTTATTCCAAAGAATTTTCGACAGTGTTTGAAAACCTAAAAAATAAAAATTAATAATTGCATTTCTAACTATTTTAAATCAAATGTTTATAAATTATTTACCTCTTATTGTTGTTGACCAATTTTTAAGTGTTGGTACTCTAACTGCTTTTCCATTCTTTCCAACAAATTGCATTGTTGATAATATTTTCAAACTATCTTGCCAAAGTTTATGATGAACGGAATTTTGTTTCACAGATGTTCTATATATTTTGCCGTCAACTTGTTTATCGAATGAGCCATTTAAGGAATCGAACAGCTTATCAAAAAATAAAAAGGCAGCTGCTGTGTCAGAAGCTTTTGGGTCAATGATATTTTTAGCTAGAAATAAAAAAGTAATTAATTTCTGATATTTGAATAATAGTTAAGATGGAATCTTACAAGCAAGAAAGTTCATAACTGCAGAAACCCGCTGACTGAACACTTGTGTGGCATTTCGAACCTTCATTTTTGGTACCTTTTCCGGTATAACATGGTTGTCAGTCAAACGAGGAAGCATTTTACAGTCCGCTATGAGACTGTCAGTATCATACAATTGTCTTAAATTATCCCATTTAGCAATTCGTTTGACCCCATCAGAAGAGAAGCATAAATCTTTGGTCATTAAGTTATTTCTTGTACTTTTTAAAAGATGAGGTACATCAAACAAATGTACAATAGGAATGCGTTCTACACCATCGTCAGATTTAACTTCAATTTCATAAATGTCATCCCGGTAATCTTTTTGATGTTTTACATAATATGATTTAGTTTCATTTTTCAAAATATTTATAGCACCTTCATTTGCACATCCTTGATCACATATTGTGGCAACTACACATAAACCAGTTGCTTGGACTTGACAAATTACCTATTGAAAACAATTATAGTGTATATTATATAATGAATATCATTTGAAATTCAAGATGGTATCATTACTTCTCTCAATTGCTGCACAAGATCATGTTGTTTGGTAGCTCCTTGGCAAAATGTATAGGATACTGGCTGCTTAAATTTTTTTTTAATTCCACGAACCATAAATACAAGAGCGTGATCAGCAAGCAGTTGACTCTTATTATCTCCAGAATCAACAAAACCATCAATAACATCAGTGGTCGAATTAAATTGCAGTCCACCATTCAAGCACACTTCATCAAATATAATTGAACAAAATCTACATAATAAGCAAACAAAAAATAATATAAATGAAATATTTGAATTATTTGTGTATATATATTTACCGCTCAATTGGTTTCAATTTCTTTACATTTTCTTTGAGTACACTCATCACAAGAGGGGAAATTCCAGGCCGAATAGATACCGTTGATAAAATTGTGTTGAGTGTCCTTTTACTAGGCAAAGTAAAAAGTTTTGATAACATCCCATAGCATTTAGGACTCCTTTTATACAATGATAGGCTTAACATTTTTTCATCAATACTAAATATTCGTCCACGACTTGCCTTATTTGTCTCTCTAACCTGCAGTTTCATAAACAATGAAGTGGCTGCATTTATTTTATTTGAACATTTATCGGTCAAATAATTATCATTAAGTGTTTCTGCTGCTTTCAGTCTGTCTTTAAAAAGACATTTTTGGCTCTTGGCACGCCTACATTTTTTTAACAAAATATTTGTTGCGTTATACAGTTTCAAACATTTTGGAGTAAGTTGCCTTTTATTTTTAACACCAATACTACATAACAATCCTGCAAGTAATTAAAACAAATTCATGTGATGATAGTAATTAAATACTAATATAGACGGTATTATCAAATATTAACTTTAAAAATAAATATATTATGAATACTAACCTATAGCATTATTTGTCTTTTTAGCTTTTAATGAACTACTAACAGCATTACTATTGCCAACATGCATTGATATTACATCACCATCATCTACATAAAGCATTGCATATTTTATATTAAGCATATTAAGCAGTGTTGGGGAATAATTTAATATGATTATAATGTTACTACAATGAAACTTATTTTTAAGTTAGGTAGGTACCTAAGTACTTTTTTGTAGTAACTTCCCAAACATTCAGCATACCGAGCATAAGCCATATAACTAATGTCTAAAATAATTATAAAAGTTAAGTGTTGAATATAAACTGAAACTTACTCATTACACGTACCTAGTATGGATGGAGAAACTTTTAAATTTTTGCAATTGGAAGGTGTGTTTTCAAATTCATTTTCAAAAAGTTCCCAGCCAGATACATTGAGATCATTAACTTCAGAGCCAGATACATTAATATCAGCAACTTCAGAGCCAGATACATTAATATCAGCAACTTTATGAATTTTGACATTTGAAGTACTAACATTTGCTGGTACTGTTATATCTTCTACTGGTAATAACTGTTGACCTGTATTTTATAAAAAAAAAATTTACATATCTGGTGTCTACTATCTACTATATGCTTTGTGTTATACCTGGTAGATTCAATGTTGGATAGGCATTAACGTTGAGACTTTTTGTGCCCGGACTCGAACAACTGTCCTCAAAATGATCAGCACAAATTACCTTTTTTTGGTAAATAGATAATGCATCACTTTTATCCAAACCAATGATATCAATCCATTTTAGAAGTCTTTCCAAGTATCTGTTTGGATTTGGAAAACGGTGGCATACTAGACCTAATAAAATAAAATCGTAAGACAAAAATGTTCATATATGGTGTATCGTGTATGTAAATGACATGTGCCATGATGTACATTATTGTTAATTAAATCATGAATAAACATATTATATTCGTATATTACCTTTGGATTTACAACCAATAATGACACATCTTGACATATTTTTATAATATAGAGGTTGTGGCGTTGACATGGTAAATAAGTACAAAACGTACAAATATTAACACGTATTATACTAATATATACCTACTATATATTATACTTGTCTATGATTATATTAAACTTGTCTATAATAATAATTATCATGATAGAAATAAAAGTTATTTCTATCATGAGTCACACCGTCCAGGTCACTACTCACTTCTGCACGTACCCACGACCGGTCCCCGAGGTTGACGAGTGTCACGGGCGCGTTTGCTCGGACACGTGACGACCTTGCCCAGCTCTGCCGTGCTAAGCCAAAAGAGGGTATCTCCAATTTTGGTCAAAATGATTTTATTGGGTAAATGGGTTTATTATATAGTGATATTTTATCGATTTCAGAAGCCAAAATGTCGTATATCCACTTTTTTCTTGTCTTAAACATATGTTTAAATTAGTAACTTTAAGGGTATGTCCATAAATATTCACAAAACAGAAGCATTTTCACAGTAAATCCTAATAATTAGCAAAAATAGGGTATGTGACATGAAAATTATTGGAGTTACGTGAAAAAAGCTTATTTTTACATTGCTATTGAAAACAATATCTCCATTCTCCAATCTAAATAATATTACCAGGCATTTTGCATCTGGTTACTGGTATAATGATAAGTATTAAATTATAATTTATAATGATAGGTACATCAATCCTAAAGGCTAAAATTACAATATCCTAAAGTTACAAGTTATAACTACAACATATTATGTTGGTAACACTATATTTGAGTAATATTTTATAATATTTATATTTGGTGCAGTTTAATACCAGAAATAGAAAATAGAAATACAATATTATTCTGTGATAAGGTACGTAGTTTTTCGGTTTTTCTGCTTGTTCGTTTATCGATGGCAGGACCGGCTCAAGCGAAAATAGTGAACTAGGCGAAATCAAATTTTGCCGCCCCTAATAATATAATATTATCAGTATTTTGAAAATGCCGCCCTCTATTACTAAAGTGCTGCTTATGTGCCGCCCTAGGCGTGGGCCTATGTCGCCTACCCCTTGAGCCGGGCCTGATCGATGGAATTTGTCTAGTTCTTTAAACTCATATTGTTTAAATATATTATTATAATCTAATGACAATCCTCAAGTATACATAAAATGAATAGTCGTACAAGGAAAATGTTGAATATGGCCACAGAGCACAGAGTTCCAACTAAAAATGTAAGTATCTATTTAATTTACTCAATTCATGAATTAATATGTTAAGTAGGTACCTATTAACATTAACAATATTATGTGTTGTAGAGTGCAGACTATGCATATGCAAATCATAAAGTTATGGTATTAGACCAATATTGTCTACAAAATTTACCTCAAAACAATTCTATAATTGACCAAAATAATATATTAAATGAAGTAGTACTACAGGAGAAGCAAAATATATTATTAGAAGTAGAAAAAAAGAAGCAAAATGATGCATTAATACCTGCTTCATATTCCATAAGAAATGAGGTGATTAATTAATCTTTCTTAATTTTAGATTTTACAGGTTTTCCTATTTACATTTAAACATTTTCCATATATTTAACATTTATAACTACCTATGTATAAAATATGTTTTTTTCACAGAATAGTATCATCTATCATAATAATTCATACAGTTCTGGAAGTGGCAAATATGAAAATCAAATCTTACCTCAAAATAACTATGTAGTTGACCAAAATATATCATATGAAGTAGAACTGGAGAATCAAAATATATTATTTGAAGTAGAACAAGAGAACCAAAATGATGTATTATTACATGCTTCATATTCCAAAAGAGATAAGGTAATTAACTAACATTTCTTAATTTTAGATTTTACAAATTTTCCATACATTTAATATTTCAAGTATGTATAAACATTTTTTTTCTTTCACAGAATAGTGCCATCGATGATGATATTTCATATATTTCTGGAAGTGACAAATATGAGAATCAAAACTTAACTCAAAATAACTATGAACTTGACCAAAATATATCATATGAAGTAGAACTGGAGAATCAAAATATATTATTTGAAGTAGAACAAGAGGACCAAAATGATGTATTATTACGTGCTTCATATTCCAAAAGAGATAAGGTAATTAACTAACATTTCTTAATTTTAGATTTTACAAATTGTCCATACATTTAATATTTCGAGTATGTATAAACATATTTTTTCTTTCACAGAATAGTGCCATCGATGATGATATTTCATATATTTCTGGAAGTGACAAATATGAGAATCAAAACTTTACTCAAAATAACTATGTACTTGACCAAAATATATCATATGAAGTAAAACTGGAGAATCAAAATATATTATTTGAAGTAGAACAAGAAAACCAAAATGATGTATTATTACCTGCTTAATATTCCATACATTTAATATTTTAAGTATGTATATAAACATTTTTTTTCTTTCACAGAATAGTGCCATTGATGATGATAATTCATATATTTCTGGGAGTGACGAATATGAAATTCAATTTGGTAATAACAATAGAAATGAGTACAACAATTTAACACAGAATAGTATCATTGATCATATGATAGTTGCTCGTTATTCAAAAAGAAAAACAAATGGTGCACTGACATATTTTTAACAAAGCTTTAATTTTTAGGCAATACAATTTTGCTGAGAAACAACCCAATTCAATAACACAAAGGGCCTCAACATATTTAAATTGCAAAGAAACACATATCTAGTTTTGACTTCAGTATATTTTAGAACTCGTCACTATTGATCTGATTGTGATGACAATTGGATCTGTATTTTGGGACATTGCGATTAAGTGGTAAGTTGATACAAAATAAAGTTCTATTGAAGTATGTGAACATCTAAAATTTCATATAGGTACAAACTAATAAGTTGTACACCTTAATTATTGGCATAGGTTAATATGAATTGTTTATTAATATTACATTTATTTTTAACTACATTTTCACAGTAAGCAACAATAAAGATGATGGTGCAATACTTGTGTTTCTTTTTGGATGGGATCAAATATCAAAACTGACTAAAATTTTAAAAGACTAAGGCTTTTGTAATACATGTAAAGTATATTGTATAAATGTAGAATCTCATAAAAATGTTGATATCTGTTTATAAATATAATTTTTTATTTTGTAGCTCGGTACATACTGATTCCTTTGCATTCCATGTTACCTACTGTATCTCAAAAATCTAAATTTGAATCGTCGCCTCGGGGTAAGCATTAAATATAAAAATTCTTTAAATGCATTGTTGTCTAATGTTAGCATTATAACAGGTGTTTGTAAGATCATATTATCCACAAACATAGCAGAGACTTCAGTTACCACAGATGATGTAGTTTATGTTATTAATAATGGCCTGATGAAATTAAAAGGATTCGAAGCAGAAAATAACATTGGACCTCTTAATGAAGAATGGGTGAGCTTAGCTAATTGTAGACAATGTTGTAGTAGAGCAGGTCGTGTAAGACCTGTTATTTGTTATCATTTGTATACAATTGGACGTGATAGATCATTTAATGATTATGTACTGCCTGAAATGATATTGATATGATGAAATTGCAGCTGGTTCAAGCTGCAGAATTTAAAATCAAAATGTTGGAATCTCATTCAGCATTAAAAAAAGTCTAATGAAAATTTAACAGCTAGAGTTGAAGAACTAGCATCTCAAGTTAAGGATTTGCATGATCAGGTTTTATATTAATTTTTAAATAGATAGTTTCCAAGTATTAATATATTATTATATTTTAGGTTGATGCAGCTTTAGGAGTAGAGAAATTAGTTGAGCTTCTGGGTTAACAGAAATTGAATTTGAAATTAGAATTGGAGAAAGCAGTGACTGATCTAGAAGCGATACAAGATATTAATGATCAACTCCGAGAAGATACTACAGAGTTGGAAATGCAATTACGTAAAGAATTAGATATGGCAAATGCTAATATTAGAGAGGTTTTAAATAGTATTAATAGCAAACATTTTATTTTTATTTATACCTAAGTCATATTTATTTTAAAGTGTGTCAAAGGAAAAGGACAAGCATTGGAAAGTTTAGCTGTACTTACTTTATATTAATTGGATGAAACACAACAGCAATTAAAAAGAAAGTCAAAAGAATAAGAAGAAACGATGGACCATTTGCAAGCAGATATTGATTCACTAGAAACAGAAAAAGGAGAATTAAAAAATAAACTTAAACATTTTTCGAAAAAAATTCTTATTGAGGGTATTTACAAGTGAGTTACCTATATTTTTATAAGTTAATCCACTTATTTTTATTTATGAAATAACAATATTATAGTAATGACTGATGAAATATTTGTTGCAATATAATAATCAAAATATTTTACAAATTAAAACCTTTTTCAATTTTGATTTCTAGTTCAATTTAATAACTGCCTTGAAAGTTGGGTGGGTAGGTGGGTGAAATAATAGTGTATACTTCTGAGTCCTTCTGCTATAATTTTACTAAACACAGAAATATCATTAAATTATGTACATTTAATTAGTTTCACAGTCATTTGAAAGGGTGTTCATTTGGAAGGAGTGGGATGTGTGTTTCAATCAAATTATTTGAACTGCCAGTTTTAATAATTAAGAGGATGTAACACGGGCATTTGTTGTCTCCGTCTTACAATTATGTAACAGCACATTTAAGCTCAGCAGATCACGTTTGACTTTGTTAGTTTAAATTTAGAGTGAATGAAACTTGATGGTAAGAAAATTATCTTTGTTTTTATAGGAGTTTTTACTGTAGTTAAATTTTTTAGCAAGTTTTACGTATATAATATAGCGTTAATTAAAAAAGCTCATAACTAAAAATATAATAATAGGTCGATTCATTCTAATTTTTAAACTAGAAAAGCTTAATGTTTTATGCTGAGCTTAAATTTCCTATGTTACTCTCTTGTAAGACAGAGAAAACAAATGCCCGTGTTATGTTCTCTTAATATTTTCATTTATTTGAAGATCACATATCTGTTTTCAACTTTGCTCTAAACAATTTTGAAAATGTACATGTCCAATTATTTCCATTATTTTCTTGTTGACAAGTCATTTTACACACAATTGTTTACTTGCCTCATATTATTTATAATAAGTCTCATCAAAATTTGTATATTTTGTCATCATTTTAATGGCCGTATACATTTCAATATATCTATTACAAAAATCAATTTTAGATTCTGAGTGGAACGATGAATGTATTGAATTTACATTGATGTGTGTTTTTTTTATTTTTTATTATTTATTCATTTTTGTGTCTGTCATCACGGTTTTGGGCCGTAAAACTGCTTCGATTTTCTTCAACAGTATCTTGTTTGATGGAAAACTGAATCTAGTTGGTGCATTCAGGAGGTCAAATTTTAAAATTCCCAATAGTTTTGTGCCGGAAAAAACAACATAAAAATTAAGGAAAAACGGGATTTTTTACCCAAAATTTTGGTTTTTACTGTAACTCTAAAACAAATGAACGTGTATATACATGAAATGTTCACTGCTTGTTTATATTTGCATTTTCTATACATGATAAAATTTTCAAAATATTATGATATGTTTTTAACTATTTAGTTACATTTGCTATTTTATTAGTTTTTTTTCTATAAATGTCAATAAAACTTTATTTGTTGAGTAAAAATACTTAAAAATTTAGTACAATGCTCCTTCTATATTGTTACAATGACAGAAATATTAAAAATCCTTAGTCTCAGATTTTTTTCATAAGCATTTAAAGTTTAAAAATTGACAAAATATGGTAAATCACAAAAATTAGCAAATTCTTTTGAGTTAAGAATTCATAAAAATGTTTCTTTTTAAATCTAAGATTTTTAAATGTAATACAAGATTCCGTATAAGATTATCTACCTTTATAAAAAAAAAAAAATGTCTACCGGAAGTTGAAATTAAATTTTTATGAGCATTTTAAATTCATATTTTTACAAAATGTGTTATTCACTCGATTTCTCATGTAACGATTTTCTTATTTTGTTATACTTGAAAAACGAATAACTGTAGATACATGACAATTTCACTGAATGTTT